AAGTCCTTTACTATTATTGTATTTCTAAAGATTACTCCCTTTATGTCTGTTAATAGGTGCTTTATGTAGCTGGATGCTTCCATGTTGGGTGCATAAATATTTACAATTGTTATATTTTCTTTTTGGATTATTCCTTTTATCATTAGGTAGTATCCTTCTTTGTCTCTTGTTACAGTCTTTGTTTTAAAGACTATTTTGTCAGTATCCCCCAAGTTTCTTTTCACTTGTTTGTTTTTATTTGTTTATTTTTGGTTTTGTTTTCATTTCTATTTGGATGATAATTTTTTTAAGATTTTATTTATTTATTTGACAGAGATCACAAGTAGGCAGAGAGGCAGGCAGAGAGAGAGAGAGGAGGAAGCAGGCTCCCCTCTGAGCAGAAAGCCCGATGCGGGGCTCGATCCCAGGAACCTGGGATCATGACCTGAGCCAAAGGCAGAGACTTTAACCCACTGAGCCACCCAGGCTCCCCTGATAATTGTTTTTTCATCCCCACACTTTTAATTTGCATGCATCTTTAGGTTAGAATTGAGTCACGTATAGACAGCATATAGATGGGGCTTGTTTTTTTTTAATCTATTCTGTCCTCCTATGTCTTGATGTGAGCATTTAGTCCATTTACATTCAACGTAATTACTGATAGGTATGTAGTTTTTGCCATTTTGTTGCTTGTTTTATGGTAGTTTTTGTAGTTCTTCTCCCTTCCTTTATTTTCTTGTTCTCTTCCCTTTTGGTTTGATTACTTTCCTTAGTGATATACTTGGATTTGTTTCTTTTCTTCTTTGCATATCTTTTACAGTTTTCTATTTGTGATTATCATTAGGTTGGTATATAATACCCTATACATATAGCAGTCTCTATTAGGATGATGGTTGCTTAAGTTTGAACCCATTCTAAAAGCACTACATTTTTACTCTCTCCTCCCACATTTTGTATATATGATGTCATACTTTACATCTTTTATTTTTGTTAGTCCTTGACTGATTTTTATAGATATGACTGTACTGTTTCTGTGGTTTAACTATACTGGTTTTATAAGTAATCTACTACTTGTATTATTGTTCAAATGTACCTGTGAAATTTTTTCCTTTTATAATTTTCTTATTCTTTCCACTTGGCTATTTCTTTCCACTCAAAGAATTCCCTTTAACATTTCTTATATGGCTGATTTAGTGGTGATGAACTCCTTCCAGTTTTGTTTGTCTGAGAAACTTTTATCTCTCCTTCTATTCTGAATGATAGCCTTGCTGGATAGAGTGTTTTTGGTTTCAGACTTTTTCCTTTTAGCACTTTGAATATATCATGCCAAACCTCTGGCTTACAAAATTTCTGCTGAAAAAAAAATCAGCAGATAGCTTTATTGGGTTTCCCTTGTATGCAACTGTTTTCTTTTTGTTGTTGCCTTTAAGAGTCTCTCTTTGCCATTACTTTTTGCCATTGTGAATATTATGTGTCTCAGTGTTGGACATCCCTGGGTTTTCCGTGCCTCTAGATCTGGATGTCTATTTCCTTTCCCAGATTAGGGAGGTTTTCAGCTCTCATTTCTTCAAATTAATTTTCTGCCCCCCCCTCTCTATTTTCTATTTCTGGGATCCCTATTATGTGAATTTTACTATCTTTGATGATGTCACTGAGTTTCTTTGATGTATTCTCATTTTTTATTGTACTTTTTTTCTTTTTGTTGTTCAGTTGCTTTGCTTTCTATTATTCTGTCTTCCAGTTCACTGATTCATTTTTCTGCTTTTTCTGCTCTACTATTGATTCCCTCCAGTGTACTTTTAATTTTAGCAGTTGAATTCTACATCATTGATTGGTTCTTTTTTTAATATTTTCTCTTTGTTTAAGGTCTCACTGAGATCCTCCAGTCTTTTCTCACATCCAATTAGTATCTTTATGACTAGTACTTTGAATTCTTTAAGAAGCATCTTGCTCGTCTCCAAATCATTTTGTTGTGATTTTGTCCTGATCTTTCCTTTGGGATATATTCCTCTGCCTCATTTTTGTCTAATTCTCTGTGTTTGTTTCTATGTATTAAGAAAGCCAACTATATCTCCTGCTCTTAAAAGTAGTAAACTTATGAAGAAGAGGTCCTGTTGTGCCCCATAGTGCAATGTTCCTTGTTCACCAGAACCTGTCACTTCAGAGATGTCTCCTATGTGTGTTGCATGCACACTTCCATTGTGGTTGAGGAACATTTGCCTTCAGTCCAGTCAGCTGCAAAGCCATCTTTCTTGTGAGCAGGATTTGGCATCTGTACTATTATAGAGCCAGTCTGGGGTGACTTTGGGCTTGTAATTGGGTCAGACCAGATGCTTGCTATCATCCTGTTTGCCAGAACTATGAATTGTGGCCACACCTACCTGCAGACCTGCAGGACACTGTCCCTGCATTGTCTCCTGAGTGGCTTTTTTTTTTTTTTTTTTTTTTTTAGAATGAGACTAGCTATCAGGCCAGGTATCTGTCCTGAGTCTGTCTTTTTGGGTTGCAGTGACCACTCCCAGCCCCCAATTACAGACCCCTCTCTTTGTGCTGCCCCCTATGAGGTTTTTGTTGGTGGGCTGAGCCAGCAGTCACATCACATTTCCCCCCCAGCCCATTTCTGGGGCTTCAGTGGAACTGGTGTGTGTGTGATTATCTTCCCTTCTCACCAGAGCAAGAGTCACTTTGGAGTGGTGCTAGCCACTGTCAGGGCTGCTTGCAGAATAAAATGCATCAGGTGTAGCTTTGGAAGGATTGAGGTAGGTTGAATGGGACGGTGTGCAGGAGAATGTGGAGGTAGAGCACATAGGTGTTAGCAAGGTAAGTGCCCATCTGCTTGCAGAATGAAACCTGGGCTAAGTAGCAAGTGTTCATGTTGATTCCCACATATGTCTGGGTATCTAGGCTGGGTATAAATGGGGGAATGGTGCCCACCAGCTCTTCTGTTCTTAGAGAAATTTCTTAAAGATTTCTGCCCCTCTAGCACACATTTTGAGATTAGTAAATAAATCTCCAGGTGCTTTTCAAACTGCTACTTATATGCTGTATCTTGGCAGGGTTATGTGTGTGCTGTCTCTTTAAGGGTAGAGACTATTTTCTCTCATCCTCTGGCCCTCCTGGAGCTGATCCACTAATTTGTAAAAGTTCCTAGTGTTAAACCCCAATGACTGTAAAAACTCACAAAGTTGGGACGTCTGGGTGGCTCACTGGGTTAAAGCCTCTGCCTTCGACTCAGTCATGATCCCAGGGTCCTGGGATTGAGCCCTGCATCGGGCTCTCTGCTCAGCAGGGAGCCTGCTTCCCTTCCTCTCTCTCTCTGCCTGCCTCTCTGCCTATTTGTGATCTCTGTCAAATAAATAAATAAAATCTGAAAAAAAAAAAACCTCACAAAGTAAAAAAACTCACAAAGTTAAGCTCTCTGATTTTCAAAACCAAATGTTATGGGGACTCATCTTCCCAGTGTAGGTCCTGCATGTTTGGGATGCCTGGTGTGGGACCTGTTCCTCTCCCTTTCCTCTGTTTGTGGTGTCCCTCTAGTCTTTGTGGTTAGACTCTAAAATTAGGTTATTTCCCAACTGGGGCTCCATCCTTTCACCATTTTCTTTTTTTTTTTTTTTTTTTTTAGATTTTATTTGTTTATTTTACAGAGAGAGTAGGCAGAGAGAGGTGGGGGGAAGCAGGCTCCCTGCGGGGCAGAGAGCCGGATGTGGGGCTCGATCCCAGGACCCTGAGATCATGACCTGAGCTGAAGGCAGAGGCCTAACCCACTGAGCCACCCAGGTGCCCCCCTTTCACCATTTTCTCATGTGGCCTCCTTTCTACAGTTAACTGTAGTGAGTCTATTATGCCAGTCTTCAATCATTTTCTGGGTTAGTTATATTGATGTGGTTGTTATCTAAGAGTATCTGTGTGACAAGGTGAGTTTAGGATCTTCCTATCCCACTATTTCACAGGGTCCCCAAGAAATCGTTTTCTCTTGACTTATTAAAACAGTTACTTTGTTCATTGTCCTTTTATTAAATAATGCTCATCATTCCATGATGGAAGCCATTTTCTAATCCTTATTGGAAGATATTTTATCATTATTCCTTGAAGCAAGAACTATTTATTCATAGTATCTCTCTGGTTCCTGGTACAGAATAGATGTTCATTTAAATATTTATTGAATGAATGTACTCCTCCAGTAATCATATTGCTAATATATCTTATAACTGTGTACAGTGTTAATTTTATTCTTATACCATCATTACCATAAAACATTTAAGTGTGAATCTTTTATTCAAGATTAGAATCTGAACTAACTGATTTCTTCTAAATCATACTGCTGGCATAACTAGAAGAATGTAAATCTCCTGGCTTTGATTTCACTACTTCTATGAATAGCTTTCTTTCTGCCTGAAAAGTACACAAGTTTTCTGTTCCTGCTGCTTGGCTATTTCCATGTGTTCAAAGAGCATTTGTCAAAACAAAACAAAAAAAAAAAAAAAAAAAACAATTAAAAACAGTGACTAAAGCTCCAAATATTTACATACTAGCTTTGAGCCTCATAAATCCAAAATAGGTTATTGAATATTTTGGTGGCAAAATTTGTCTGACTCTCCTAAAAACAAGTTACCATATTTAATGTCTGCAAACTACAAAGCAGGTGCAGTGTCAACATAATTGCTCAGAGACTGGAACTTTGTAACCATGGAGACATTACCTCACAGTGTTCTAACAGGCAGTGTTGGCCAGATGTGAAGGTTATAGTCATAAAGGTATCTGTGCTGGGTTGCCACCTTGTTTCTTGAGCTGCTTCCAGTGAAGGCCACACACCTTCACCTTGATTTGCATAATATGATTAACCAGTACTAGTATTGGCTATGTCAGTGCTTGCATACTTACTTTAGAAACCTGGTTCTGGCACCAGCTTGGGAAAGAAATTATTAGATCTGGCAGATGATTTGAGGTAGTTAGATTAACAGCTGAGGTCACTTGAAAAAAAAAAATCTACCTTGAACTTCAGCTATATTTATTACTAGTATTGTGACTTGTTTCCCCAGGAAAGAAAAGAGAATTTTCTCCTAGCCAAAATGAAAGGCATGCAAGCCAGTCAGAAAACTTCAGTGGCCCTGCAGAGTGAACTTCATGAGCAGGAAGATAAAATGAAGAATCAAACACAGTAAGAATGGCACAAATGAGAGGAGGATCTGAGATTTAGAGGATAATGATAGAGTACTTGACCTCGTTTCAAAACATCTTATTTTAAGTAGCTGTAACTAGAATTGATTCCAGTTGATTCCATTGATTTAGAATATTTTCTAAAATTAATTAACTATAATGTACAACTATTTTCTCAACCACAGTTTTATAAAGTTCAGTCCTTGAATAATGCGAAAATTCACGTGAACGGATCTCTGTCATATAAGACATGGTTGAGATTTCAGAACTTATATCTAACATATTAAGGCAATTGACAATTTCTTTAGAATTCTTTTACTAACCTTTGGGACAAAGAATTGCTAGAGAATTGTGTTTTTTGGAAATGCCTGTGAAGGTATTGAATAAAAACTACAACTCTCTCGCTATCCCCAAAAAGAAAAACAAAAACAAAAAAACATAAACAAATAAACAAACAAAAACTATAAGTCCCTATTTTTACTACTAGTACGAATCATTCTATCAATAAAAACATTAGCATGGGTTTTCCAATTTTTTTTTAAATGACCTCAGTATTGAATATACCCAATTTAAAGCTAAAGTTACTTTGCATCTACATGTCCTGTATTTACTGATAAGTTCATTTTTAAAATATTTGTTCTTAGAGGTCATCTGAGAAATGATTGTTGTCAGAATTACCAATGTAGCATCTCCCAAAATAACACTGAAATGTGGGAATTGAACTTTTATAACTACCTCTGGTGTAGTACTAATCAATTACAGAGGAAACAAAATGCAAGAAGGGACTTACAAAATTCCGTATGATAGAGGGCAAGCTAACTAAGCACAAGGCCAAATCTCTCGTCTTCCAAAAGGACACTAACAGGATAGTGCAGAGTTTAGACAATGGGCTACATCACATGTGTCTCTTGTGAAATGTCTCACCTTTTTCAGAGGTGTGTGCAACCATTAGAAATTTCTTTTTCAGGGGTGCCTGCATGGCTCAGTGGGTTAAGCCCCTGCCTTCAGCTCAGGTCATGATCTCAGGGTCCTGCGATCAAGCCCCACATCAGGCTCTCTGCTCAGCAGGGAGCTTGCTCCACCCCACCCGCCTGCCTCTTTGTCTACTTGTGATCTCTCTCTCTGTGTCAAGTAAATAAATAAAATCTTTTAAAAAATTCTTATTCAGCCACAAATATAAGAACACTTTGTGGCCCTAAGCCAGATTTCTTTAATCACAACATTTGCAAAGGCTTATTAGGAATCTTCTGTGGAATTAAATTATTTGGAAATGGTATTATTTTACTGGAGGAAGAAAAAAACTTTGGAGCTTTTAAAATGAACATGCTGAAAAGATATAGCCAGTTTGTAATGAAACCCAGATGTAAGGAACTTTGAAAAGAAAAGTACATTTCCTGCTTATGTTAGTGTCAGGCAGAAATCATGTCATATGATCCTGTCTCAGGTTGGACAGAGATGAAATATTGTAACTTGACAATCTACCTCTTAGTCTCCTTTCCACAAACTACCACATCCTACTCAAGAGTATATTTTCATGGGTTAGAGGTTTTCTGAGAAAGATGAATGCTTGGGGTGTCAGCAGAATGGCTAATGCTCAAGCTTTATATGTACTGGCCTAGTAGTACAATTTTCAAGCCAATGCCATTTATTTATATTTTTTAAAAAATGCCTGAGATGTCTGTGCCCTCTGAGAGGTACATTTAGAGAAGTCTGGTTTTGAGTACAAAGCTCTCCAGATATAATACTTCTGATGAAGGAATTTACAAATTGTAGAACAAAATGATTATAAATACCTCTTAGTAAACAAAGAGATTAAGACTGACATCACTTTGGCAGATTCGGAAACTTCAGGCCCTTGTTTCCTTATAGAAATATTTAGAAAACAAAAACAAACAACAAACCAGAAGACTTGCTAAAATATCTTTACAGTAACTCAGTAAAATAAAGAACCAAAATAGAAATAAGCCATGGACGCAAAATTCTTAGCTCTTGACTTACAGAGGATAAATAAGTGGCCCAAAATAACGGGGTGCATGAACTGGCCATTTATCCAGTTTTTCAAAAAGCTAGGGGATTTTGGACCCCAGGACTTTGTTCACAATTCAAGTGTTAAACACACATATACATACACATACACACAGATTGCTTTAAGGGAACTAAGTCTCAATGTGACTCATAAAATGGAGTTGTCATAAATCTTTTCATGAGCCAAGCCATGGGAATATTATGTTACTTGTAAAATAATTGTGTTGTAGTTTAGAGGCTTTGTTTAAATGCACACTAGTTAACAGATGTTTTTATGTTTTTAAAAAAGAAAGAAAGAAAAACCTGTGTTCATAGTAAGATTTAATTATAAAAATAATACCTGAAAATTAAGCCTGTTTTCTTCCTTTTCTATATTCCCCTCAACATACATATACACACATACACACACATGTATACACATGTACAGACAGATATACATGTATACTGTATTCAAAGTAATTAATTTTCAGAATATATTTGAAAGTAGACATTAACTAGAATTTTTATAAATATAGGAAAATCAGTTAGCAGGAATTAAAAGAAAAAGTTTACTAAACAATAATATATTAAGCAGGAATTATAACCATTTTTTTAGTTAATGGAAAGGGAAATATAGAGTAAGTAATAAAAGTGGTATATAAATGGTTTCTAGAGTCTCAATTTTGAGTTAAAAAAAATGTTAGAAACACTGGAATGGAGTGGAGGAGGCAAGATGGTGGAGGAGTAAGGGACCCTATTTCAGCTGGTCCCCTGAATTTAGCTATCTATCTACCAAATCATTCTGAACACCCAAGAAATCAGCCTGAGAGGTGAGAATATATATCTGGATCTCTACAACCAGAAAATCTCTGCAGGTTGCAAGGTGTGAAGGATGGAGTCGTGAATCTACAGGCAGATATCAGAGGATAAACAGAAGGGGGAAAGAGCTGTCATAAGCTGGTGCCTTGAAAGTGATATAACACTGGAGCACAAGAGCATCCTGCAATGGAAACCAGGCACAAATTTGCAGAGAGGTAGCGCCCAGGAAAGGGTTTTAGAGCAGGCCCCACACAGGATCCAGGAACTGCAGGGGCACACACATGAACCTAGACCACTCACAGTTTTAGAAGCCCAAAAGGCAGAGACATGCCCCGACCCTGGGGTTGACCTCTGGGAGATCTGCTGTGGGCACAAACCACTGCAGGAGTCTGCCTTTTTTAGCAGCACCTACAGAAGCAGAGACTGTATCTTGGAGGGCTCAGTGAAGAGCAGATTATGATTTGTCTCCTCCTGGACAGAGTTTTGGGTGTGACTATTTTTGCTCTGGCTCTCAGAAGAGATGCAGAAAGCCACCAGAGGACAAAAGCTCAAAAAAATGGTTTCCATCAAGCCCAACCCCTGGACGGGGGCAGGGCATCTCTCCCCAAGTAGGGTTGCCTGAGTAATAGCATGGCAGGCCCTTCCCCCAGAAGACAGAGTGGAAGAACAAGAGGAAGACAACACTAGAGTCCTCATAAAATGGGTGCATCTTGTTTACATCGTGGTTAATACTTTGAACACTGTGTATTCCCTCAACCACCCCTCGACAGAGTTAGTAGGAGGAGGAACCTCCAACAAAGAAAAAAGAGACTGTGGCCTCTGTCACAGACCTAATGGTTATGGATAAAAGCAAGATGTCAGAGATAGACTTCAGAGTAGCAAATATGAAGTCAATATCCAGGCTTAAGAAAAATATTAGTGACAATATAGAATCTCTAAGGGCAGAAATGAGATCTAATCAGGCCAAACTTAAAAATACTATGAATGAGATGCAGTCTAAACTGTATATCCTGACAGCCAATGTAATGAGGCAGAAGAATGAATTAGTGAGCTAGAAGATAAGATGATAGAAAGGAAGGAAGCTGAGGAGGCCTAGGATAAACAACTAGAAACATAGGAGAATAGACTTAAAGAGATCAATGATGTCATGAAGCATTCCAATTATCAGAATTATTGGGATCCCTGAGGAGATGGAGAGAGAGAAAGGACTAGAAGGCATATTTGAACAAATTGTAGCTAAGAACATCCCTAATCTGGGAAGGAAGCAAGCATTTGTGTCCAAGAGGCAGAGAGGACCCTCCTGAGATCAGTAAGAACAGAAAAACATCCCAGTTTGTAGGGAGTAAAACCTGCAAATCTTAGACCCAATGAAGCTATTCTGAGAGCAGCTGGGGGAAGAGATTTCTTACATATGGAGGGAGGAATAGCACAGGGTTGCAAATTAGATAAAATACATGACCCATCCATAAGCTGTCTACAAGAGACTCATTTTGAATATAAAGATACTTCTGGTTGAAAGTCAAGGGATGGAGAACACCTTATCCAATGAACCTCAAAATAAAGCTGGGATAGCAATTCTCATATCAGAAAAATTAGATTTTAAGCTAAAGACTGTAGTAAAAGATGTAGAGGGACAGTATATCACACTTAAAGGGTCTGTCCCACAAGATCTAACAGTTGTAAATATCTATCCCCCAACATGGGAACGGCCAAATACATAAGCCAACTATTAACCAAAATAAAGAATCATATTGATAATAATACTTTAATAGTAGGATGTCTTAACACTCCACTCTCAGCAATGGACAGATTCATCTAAGCAGAAGATCGACAAAGAAACAAGAGCTCTGAATGACACATTGGACCAGATGGACCTCATAGATACATACAGAACATTCCACCCTAAACAACAGAATACTCATTCTTCCCAAATGCACATGGAACTTTCTCTGGAATAGACCATATATTGTGTCACAAATCAGGTCTCAACCAATACTAAAAGACTGAAATTATTCCTTGAGTATTTTCAGACCACAGTGCTTTGAAACTGGAACTCAATCATAAGAAAAAAATTGGAAGGAATTCAAACACATGGAAGTTAAAGACCATCCTGCTGAAGAATGTTTGGGTCAACCAGGAAATTAAAAAAGAACTTAAATAATTTATGGAAACCAATTA